CATAAACATCTTGAAGGGGGCATAAGTCAAAGTGTGTTTTGGTCGTGCAGCATACTGATTCATGCAGCGTGCTGGTTCGTGCGGCGCGCTGTCCGTTATGGTCTGACACGGCGCCTCCGGCGCGAGAAAACCTCCTGCTCGCCTTCGGCTCGTTTAATTTTCATAAACATCTTGAAGGGGGGGCATAGGTCAAAGTGTGTTTCGGTCGTGCAGCGTGCTGGTTCGTGCAGCGTGCAAGTCCTGCAAAAGGCAAGCTCCTTTGTTTCGAAAGGCACGGGTTTGAAGCATGTGCAGTCACGTCTGCTTAAGAGCTAGGCATGGTTGAGGCTCTAGAGGTATGTGCGTGCATGCACATGTGTGGATCCTACGAAGACATTGGTATGTTGCCTCCGGAGGCACGTATTTGAAGCATGTGCAGTCACGTGTGCGTATGAGCTAGCCATGGTTGAGGCTCTAGAGGTATGTGCGTGCATGCACATGTGTGTATTGTCCGGAGGCATAGGGCTTTGTCGCTTCCGGAGATAGGGTGTGAATCATCTACAGTCGTGTATGCGTAGCAGCTAGCTACGGTTGAGGTGCTTTTGGTATGTGTGTATGGATATTGCTCAGGGGCATGGTGACCCAGGGCTTTGGTGGCACATGGCCATGTCATCTCTGGAGACACGAGAGGGTGGTCTTCTGTGACGCCTGGATAGTTAAGCTACAGCAAACCTCTGCTAAAGATGCCACGTCACTTCAATTACTGTTGCTAATCTCGCGTTAGTTCAAAATCGATCCAAATTCAAATTTGAAATCAAGCAACGATAAAACTTTTCAAATATTAAAACTAAAATGTGCGGAGTGAACCAATTAATTCATAGGAAATTATGGTGGAGAAAACACACTTTTATAAAGTAGTTAATTGCACAATCATAAATAAAGCAAAGGCAAAACTATTAATTGCATACTATTAAATTAATAGACAAATACAAACTACTTTTATTTAATGTGCCACTATTATCATAGTAGTAGTATAATTAAATATACAAGTTTAAGTACTAAGTGATAAGAGTTTTTATAAAATTAAATCTAAAGAAGAACACAAAAGGAAAGTAAACAAAAGAGAAAAGAAAAGGACCCCCCCCCAAAAGTTAAAAATAAACAAAAGGAGCCCCCCACTGGGCTAGCTAGGTCGGCTCAGCCGGCTCACCCCACTCCCCCATATCCCCCTGTCGATGGAAACCTAGACCTAACCCACTCCTCCCCCACGTTCTCCACACCACGATCCCCTCGCTCCCTCTGCCCCTCCCCCGATCCAGATCGA